CATGACTATTTGTCTACAGAAATTTCTTTTTAGCTGGTATGGACCTATCCTGACGATGACGTCAAAGTCACCTACTTCTGTCACCATTTTTCTTGTAAGTTGTCATGGAAACGAGTTCAGCAGCTGAAAGCTAACATTCCTTTCAATTTATTTAAACAATTATGGGGCGTGTTTTGTTTCGTATGAGTAAGGAACAATATCAAAGCTGGAAATATGAGAGATATTATATCCAAGGGTTTTTACATTTTTGTAATGGTTTCTTTATTGCGCTTTGTCACGATGTTTCAGAACACTTTGGTCGTGTGACCTCGGTAGTCTAGTTGTGGTTTGGCAACCGCATTCGTAATCTTGAGATTTGGGATTTGGGTGGAGATTCGAGGCTCAATTCGGTCCGAAATTACGTCGTTGAGAATTAGCCCTATCCGTACGTCGTGTTTTACTATCGTATCCAAACGACGTGAGGAACGCTGTCCCCGCAATTTCCAAAGAGGAAATTTACTCGTTATTCCGATCCGTACGCTTTGCATAAGAGTCTGTCAACATGATTTTTTGAGAAATACTGAAAGTTTCAAAGAGATCTTTACACTAGAAGTATTTTAATCAAAATGTGAAGAATACAACCACTAGGGTACAAAATGACCCCGGGCGTACGGATAGGGTAATTAGCATATTTTACACGAATCGTCCCAGTTATCTCGGTCCTGTTAGAGATAGATGTTGTATTCGAATGTCCTACCTCGTAAATAACTTAGTGTTGCAACTGGGGGTTTAAAACAAATGCAATTTCAATTTGCTTTAGTCGTTTCCTTTTGTTTTGTTTGGGGGGTTTTGGGGTTTTTTGTTGTTTTTTTTACTTTGAAATACAAACTTTCCGCTGTCTCATCTTGGTGTAGGGGTACCAAAGTCTTTTTGTTTGTCTGTCAAATTGTTTGTTTGTTTGCTTGGTTATTGAAATTGTTGGGGATTTTTTTATTTGTGGAGGTGGTAAAAGGGCGTCGCTGTCGATTAAATGTCAGCTCATCTTATACATTTAGCCAAGCGTTATAAGTAAAGTAAAGGTATCCGATCCGGACATTGGGGATTGCCTTGAGACAACTTCCCGGGCCTTCGACATATTGTGGTAGGGTGGCCAGTTCTTTCCACGCTGCCAAGCGTTAAAACAAAGGAAATTCATTTTAAAATACTTATATTAGAAAAATTTTGATTGCATAGTAGGTGTGTATTATGTAACTTAAATTCAATGAGGAAGCACATGATTTTCTTTATTTAACAAACGTACACACACACACAAACTCACACACACATAAACACACAAACCCACACATATACACCAACATACAAACACACGTACATGCAAACACACATACACACAAACACACACAAACACACACAAACACATACACACATAAACACACAAACAAACACACACACACACACACACACACACACACACAAAACGCACATAGATAGGTGCGTTCGTCACCTTCATTATAATATACATGTATATAGATCTAGAGGAAATATTTTAGCTTGCTTCACTCAGTGCAAAACAATGCACAGTAATACTTTATGAGCAGATAAAGAAAAAAAAACAGTTATAGATCTAAATGACGTCAATAAAAATCTCTCCAGCCAGGCACTGCCCCCTGTCTTTTTTTAAACCCTGGCATATATCAACAATAGAAGACAAGGTGTGTCTGGAAGAACCATAGACTTATATATCAATCTAAAATCCTAGATCATGCACTTTGACGTATATTGCGCTATGGGAACGTGCTACACGCACTCAAATCGAGAGAGAGAGAGAGAGAGAGAGAGAGAGAGAGAGAGATGGAGAGAGAAAGGGAGGGAGGGGGAGGGAGAGAGCGAGAGAGAGAGGAGAGAGAGGAGAGAGGAGA